AGTTTTCTGGTTTCATTTATGATCCAAAGATTACATGGTTTTGCTGGGATTTTTATTTATTTGTCAGTTGGTAGGACTTTTTGTAGGTTTCCAATATTTATTTTAACATGTGAATGCTATCTGTGAAAATCTAAGTAATCTTCATTTTTATATCTTGCTCTAATTTCTTTTGGATTAACACAGAGAGGCATTAAAAAGACAGCATATTGTGGCAGCTCATAGCATAATACCTTACTTTTCCACTTTTTTTTCCTCCCAGTCATAAGATTAAAACATGTAACAACTCAGTTTATCAAATAAACTAACTTGAGCCTGTCCCTGGACAATGTGTTTTTATAGTAATAAATTTCCCCTGTGAACAATCACATTTTTTGCATAAACTGAGTTTTTGGTGGAATTGAGCCATAATTTGAAAATAGAATGAAATGGGGAAATGGATTGTAAGTAGGGTTCTGGATTTTTCTTCTACCTCAGACTTTTTATTATGACCAGGAAGTGTTTGGTTTAGATACAGACTGATAAACTAATTTTCTTTTTCCTGGGTTCTTGCCACACCCTTATTTCTCTAACATCTTTACGTTATTAAAAAGTGCTTTACTGCAGAAAAGCTTTTTTAACCCCATAAAGTATACACACATGAGCAAGCTACTATGGGATGTGGTATATTTGGTGTAGTTTAAAAGCAAGTAGATTACCACTAGCCTGTAGAACAAGTAAATTATCACTAGTCTAGATCAACTGTAGCGTTTTATATAGGGTTGCTATGGTTGGCCTATGTTAAAAGGGAACATCATGTTCTTAGCAATGAGTTGTGTAACACTTGGCGTGAACGTCCTGTAGACACTGTATTATACTCCTAACGTTACCACATCATAATTACTAGATAATCAGGTGTTTCTGAAAAGGAATTTTTGTGTCCAGTTTTGGTTGCATGGCCTAGAATTCCTCTAGAAGGCTGATGGATTACAGAGATTTTTAACTGCGTTGTCTTGCTGCATTCATACTTTCCACATCCGGTTACAATCCTATTCCACAAGTTTTAAACTGCTTGAATATTTATTATATTAACCTAGCTTGGCAAGCACCGAACAGCAAATGGGTCAATTAATATCTGCGTTATTCTTTGTGATAAAGTTTTATTACTCTGAAGGGCTTTGACTTGCACTTTTGGGTACAGATGAGGTTGGATGCAGAAAATGGTGCTCATGAAAGTAATGCTGCTGATGCTTTGTGTGCTGTGTAAGAGGTGTCTGTCCCCTGTTTTAATTGCCTCCTTAAGTTTAACCATGGCTGTAGTGGAGGCCAGGCTGTTCATGTTGCATGTGCTGTTGGTAGCAAGGCAAACCTTTTGCTTGCTAGTTGTTGGTTAGTGAAGAACAACTCCACCTTCTGACAGGTGGAGGGGTTTTTGGGGGGATTGTGTCTTTGTAGCTACAGGTGGGGTACTTCTTCTGTGAAGCATGTTGAAAGGGCATGGGAAAAGAGAAGGCAGCAGTCAAAAGCACACTTCATGGGCTAATGGCTTTGTGATCTGTGTTTGGGATTTCTTGTGGCCCCAGGCCACTTTTGTGAAATCCAGAGAAGGCCAAAATGAAGAAGGGTCAGATGGTTTGGTTATGTCCGCAAAGGCTGTGGAGAGGCTCTGAAGCTACTCTTCAGAGCATGGTCTGTTTACGCTGACAGTGAGCCAGCAACCATATGTAGTAGGAAAGCAGCCGAACACATGGGTGTCCACATGCCTGAGCATACGCACAGTGATCTGCCACTCTAATAAGTGGCTTAGTACATCACCAGGCACGCTCGTGCAGCCTGCTTGGACTCTGCCTGCCAGCAGTGCTGGAACATGGGCAAATCAGGATTCCGTGCTTCTGTTTTGTATTTCTAAGGTTATTCTTTAAGTGTAGATAGGGTCTTTATGTCTGAATGCCTGCACTGGACTTGTACCGGTCCAGTATAGAGTCCTTTTGCTTGGTCATCTCTCCCTCTTGAAGAGCTCCTGAGGGATAGCAGCTGTGTATAAGTTTCGTGCAAGTTTTACAGGCAAGTGAAACTGAAGTGCATAGGCAGTGGTTCTGAAGAGCATGTTTTCCCTGCTTATCCACATATGCAAGTGAGTTTTGGGGATTTTTTTTTTGTGTGTGTGAAAGCTATTGTAAGCTTTCAAGAGAAGTTTTTGTACAGATGTTTTCAGCTGCTGCTGAAGTACTGTGTGATAGTCCTAGAGGAGCCTTCTGATTTCTCTGACTTTTTTTGGTGGTCAAATTTAGACAGCTTTGCTTGTAGGACACAATAAGAAGTGAGGCTAAATTTCCCTTCCTTGAGATATATAATCATGGAGTATGATTTTCCCTTTTCCTTCATCTTCTCCCAATAGAAAGCAAAACTATATTGGAGGTTCTGAAGGGGTAGAGACTTAGCATGCTGTTTACATGACAAGTGGACTGAAATAAGCAGAAAACATGTTTCTTGGGGGAAAGAGAAGGAGGTTATTTTGCAGACTGTGTGAGCAGGCTGCAGAAGTTTGGTGGAAGTGGTACTGATGTTCATGCTGAAAAGATGTGATAGTGGGAATGAGATCTCATTTGTACTTCAAAACATCTGGGAAAGACTTTGGGGGTTTGCTTCCAGCTGTTTTTGAGTGTGCTGTGGTAATTCTTAATGCTTGATTTTTCTTATAGGTAGAATAGTTAGTGATTTCCTTGTATGGATGGCTTTTAAAAGTAGAACTGTCTTTTTAAATGTAGAACCAAAGCTATATTGCCTTTCCAACACCCTGTCCTAAAACAGAGGCACTTCACTGTTAAATAATACCTGTAATTTTTTATAACTGAAGCTTAGGGAGACAAGATGAAGTGGTAAGGATGTCCAGTACTTCTCTTTTTGTTGGTTTTGCTTTCTATACTCCTTATTCCTTGCAGCTTTTGTATCTTTGTACGTTTTTTGTGCTTGACCTTATTACATGTACTTTTATACGTTTCTGCTACTTAGTTTCTTTAATTGAACAAAGATCTTCAGTATATAAAGCATTTCTTTTATTTCAATTACATCTCTACCATGGGTTCCTCTGTGACTTGAGCTCTTATTTCTCGGTACTAATACAGCGAACTCATAGGACAAGTACATCGTGTTTGTTAGGTTGCCATGCTTTGTGGAGTGTATTGCTGATGCGGTGGGGGCCGTATTAACAATAGTCAGAGAATTTATTTGGCACAGAGTCTTCCAGAATGGGACTTTCTTTCTGACTGAAATCTTTTAACTGGGTATGAACTGCAGCAATGTCTAAAGAGCAGCGTTAGTTTTCTGGTTTCACCTATAATAAAGGTGAAATAAAGGACTGCAATTTGATAAAATTTTTTTTTACCTCACTTCTGTGACCCCACTTCCTCAAATTAATAATTTTTGTTATTTTGCTTAAAAGGGACAAGAGTCACATATACAAATATTAAGGAGTTCTTACTACCGATATCCTGCTTAATAATTTCTCCAGTTCCACTCAGGAAGAGAATAGTGTTTTCTGTTTAGGAAGAAATTCAAATGTCTTTTTAAATTCACAGTTAATACAAAGAATTTAACTTCATCTTTAAGAAGGTACCTATTGTAAAACTGGAAGGATGTCTAGAAACTGGCATGAGGCAGGGAAAGGAGACTGTGTTTAACTCACTCACTTGTTTTTTTTTCTTTATGGCAAATACCCAACCTGCTGACAATTAAACTTAGCTGTGCGCCATGGCTTATTATTCAAGTTGAAGGAATAAATTTGAAAGAGACAGTTTCTCTTGGCTCCTGTGGATAAACCATCCGAATCCACTGTGGAGACTTGAGCACAGGTGGTGGGCTCAACAGAACAAGGAATAATGACCTGAAAGGGTAAAATAAGCTTTCCTTCTGGTCTGACAGAGAACAATTCCTGCTAGGTGATGGAGGAGTGGCTCTGACTGTTTTTTTGGGGGGAAGAGGAGGAGAGAGGGAGATTACTTTGGTAGTTGGCATCTTACAGTTACAGGAAAGCCAATGATGAGTCAGTCAGGTGCTGGGCTGTGCTGGTCAGCATAGCATAGGTGAGGTGAACTTGATAAGTTCAACAACGTGCTGGTACCATGCTATTCATAGTAAAACTGAATTGACTTTGTCCTGTTACTTCAGGCTAACTTTTTGTTATTAGTTACTCCAGGGGGAGAACAAGCGGCTTTAAAAACAACAAAATCAAACTAAAACTGGAAGGAAATTAAATAATAGTGGTGCTGCAGGTGCTTCAGGAATAGAAGGAACTGATGACATAAGCTTGGGACTGTTTAAGAAACATCACTTGAGGACTGACAGATATTTTCTTTTTCCTGTTTTGCCCTCTGGGACATAGCTAAGGAAGGTTATTTCTGTGATTTTTTTTTTCAGACTGCTATAAGTAAAAGAAGTGTAAGTTTTTAGTAAGCTGAGAACAGCTAGTGCTTTAAGAATGCATACTTGTATTTTGGAATATGAAACTACTTTTGGTCATGATGTCAATACTTTTGCTTAGTTGAGTTAGCTCTCTGAAGAGTTTTTAATCTATTAAGGCTAATTTAGAATTTGTATTTCGATGGTGAAATGTTTTAAGATTGTAGTCTTAACAGAAGAAACATAACTTGAATTCAAATACGTGATCCCAAATTTCATAGTAAATAATACTAATTCTTCAGCTTGAATGCTTAGATGAGTGAGTAGTTGATTTTGAAATACACTGTGTTGATATCTGTATTATCTAAACAATGGTCTAACAATAAATAAAGATCATGGAGATGGAATTCTGGGGGTTTCTTATGTTTATAAAGGGAACAATTCAGTGAATAGTTGTTCTGTGCAGTGTTTAAGGATCTAATTGAGAAGTTAGGTTAAAATAATCGTAAATATTTTTATCAGTAAAATTTCTGGTATTTGTTTCATAAATAATGCGGGTTTTTAGTATGGTGGGGTTTGTTTCTGATTTTTTATTTTTTTTTTTAAACAGGAATACATTGATGACACTTTCAGATTTGGAAAGATCTTGATTAGTCGATTCGTTAAGGTGAGTGTGTTATGCTGTCCCCAAGAAAGTGCTTTATAATAGCACTTTCTTTCTCAGTGAGTTTGAACTTGTTTTTTTTGTTGCTGCTTTGTATGCTTCCTTTGAGTTGTAATGTCAGAAAAATAAAAATATATTAAGCACATTACATTTTTAAAGACCTGTTGTATGAAGCATGTGGAAATGATGTGGCTTCTCTAAATCTTTAGGAAAGTAAAATTTAGTGTAGCATCCAGTATCAAGTACTAGATCTGCATTGTTGTCTGTGCAGAAGTTTATTAATAAACTTCCAGTCTTTTGATGCCTCTTGCAGGTGTGTTAAGAAATTTTAATGATGAGGAAAATTCTGGGGTCCAGAAAACAAAGTAGCTAGTGTTAATCAGTTAATCAGGATGATAGCTCTGGAGGAGAAAAGAAAATGTTATGCTTGTAAGCTTTGATTTAGAAAGCAGGTCATAGCTTCCAACAGTATTTTTTGGCCAGTTGTGCTTTACTTTTTAACAGGCTGATACTATTCGAATCTCTGTTTCAGAAGTTGAATGCATGGTCTCAGAGATACTGACTTATGCATGTTTATATTCAATGTGTGAGAAGCTGATGACAAAAAAAGCTTATTACACCTCAGGTGGAATGTGTGGTGGATTAAGATAGGAGAATAGATGATCAGAATTATGGAAATATTTTGAAAAATGAAAAAAGTTGATGGTTATTTAAGCAAAAAAAGGACACAGCTGAGATTTTAAAGGAGAAAGGTGGAGGCATGTCATCTGTGATGCAAAGACTATTTGTCCGAGTGGTTTTGTTATATGTAATCTGATAATGGGACAATATTGGCCCAAGACAGGAAAGGGAAGTATAGCAGTTCTGGATAGTACTGTAATATTGCAATACAGATGAAATTGTAACTGAGAATTTGAGGATTAATACTGTAGCAGAACCTGTTTTTCTATGGCTACAAAATGTGATTTTGAATAGGTCCTTAAAGATCGCAATGTTCTTTTTTCAGTGCTGCAGGTGTGACTTCAGTTCTCTGCAGAAAGTGAACTTGGTGGCGATCCTGTAATACAGGTGCGTTCCCTGAAACAGGTTGTTCATTCTTTTCTAATATTTGAAGTCTTCTGTGCTTAGAATAGCTATATCTCAGTAGCGAAGGAAATGTTGTCACAAGTTCTATATTCTTTTATACTGATCAAATTATACTTCTTTCTGTGGTAAAAACTTTCATGAGATCCCATACATGGATGAGCTCTTTCATGAGTTCTTTGGGATTTGGGCATACTCAGTCACTGGTCCATTTCCTCTGATAAATAATAGAAAACCAGAAGATTAGATTTAGCTGCCTCTAATTCTACTCAAACTGTTAAAATGCCTGGTTTGAATAACTTGTGTTTAGTTTTAGATAAAAATAATTTTGGCGTAGATTTGTCCTAGCTTTCAGTTAAATTGTAGAAAGGCTTATCAGGAGAATTTTAAGTAGTTTCTTAGTGACTTCCTAAATGCATTAAGTAGATGAAGCCAACATGATACCCAATTAAAATAGTACATGTTGCTACAGCAAATATCCTCTTCAAACCTAGACTCTGTTAAACTTTTTTGAAATTTGTTTTTATCTATGAAAATGTCATGATGGAGGAGGTCATCAAACTAGGGAAGTGTTATGTCACTTCATAAGCAGTCAGGCAAGACATTGTGGCTAATTTCTTATAGATCTTGATTAGTAAAGGTAGAACCTTAACTTCATTAAGAAAATACAGATTACAGGGAGATGAGTTAGTGTGAGGGAATTGGAAGAGCTGTCTTTCAAACTAGGATTTAACTAGCACTGAAAGACATTCCAAATCTTCAGCATCCAAGCTAAAAATTGCCAATCTGCAAGTACCTGCAGGTACAGTAATTTCTAACACTTCTCCTGGTCAGAGATAGAGAGCTTGTAACATAAATCCTGTTTTATCAATTTATGATAAAGACAGAGGCAAAATATTTAAAGAACAGATTCGTATCGTAATCTAAGGCTTGTAGAATTCACATCAGCTTTGCAATGTTATGCAGAATGGAATGTTGTGAATAAATTCTTCCTTAAGTCTGGCCAACACAAATGTACTTTTAACAGTTGGTAGACGTGCAGCGTTTTAAATTAAGGCATGTTAACATGGGCTGTCTTCCAAAATGGTTAGCTTGGGATTTGAACACTGTTCCAAATTTTTGTTCCAAACATTCCTTCTGCATATTCAAATGAAGCACTTAAAAGTGATGTAATTGTTTGCCACACGAATGTTGATCTTCTGAACTTCTGATTTTTATTCTACTATTTCTTTGTGTTAATTGGCAGTGTCATGTACCAGCACACTTAGCTTCCTAGATTTAATAGAAGAGCTTTCAGATTTTCTTTTTCCTGCTGAAATTCCTGGTGTCTTTCTTGGGGAAGCTGTTTTTATTAGGAAGAGTAATAGTGTTGTTGGATTTTGTTAGTACAGACTTCTGAATGTAAGGAAACACTTTAAAAATTTTTTTTACACACTCTGAGGGTGAGTGAGCACCGGAACAAATTGCCCAGAGAGGCTGTGGAATCTGCATCTTGGAGATATTCAAAAGTCATCTGGAGATGGTCCTGGGCAGCCTGCTCTGGGTGACTTTGCCTCAACAGGGAGTTGGACAAGAAGACCTCCAGAGGTCACTTTGAGCCCCAGCTGTTCTGTGATTCTGTGAATTGAAATTTTGCAACTGCCTAGTAAATTCTTTAATGCTCATACCATGCCTTCAGCAATGTGGACGAGTTTAGATGAGGTCTTAAAATGGTATTCTAACCAAACTTTTTAAGCACTTGGAGCTTCTTTGAACTACATTGGGCATTTTGCTCTATCTCCTGGAGAGGTTGGCCCTTCATTCATAGTGGCTGCATCAGCCCATGCAGATAGTATGATGCCATGCTGATAGTGAACCGGAATGGTTATTTTATCTAGTGTTGAAGATTCTGTTGTTTTAAAACTCTATAAGACCTTATTTTAGACCAAAAGTGTTTAAATGCAAATTTGTATCTGATTCCTCTGCTGGATGACAGTTTCGTGTTTAACCAACATTTATCTGCATAGGCATGGCATAACTGTGAGCATCTCTCTGGTATCTGTTTGAAGAGGACACTGTTGGGGGGCCCAGGTATTTCTTTTATATTTTATAGTTATAGAGGTGTCCGGACTCTGTAATGGTCAAAGATTTCCAGTACAAGAGGATGAGACAAGAATTATATGCATGTGGGAGACTCTGGACCTAGGCACTTCATGCTTTTGATGCTAGCTGAGAGGGAGCTTGATAAACAGTTTTACCAACTTTTCATAGAAAAAACAGGTAAGAAACACGTGTAATTGTTATGATTCATGTTAGTAGAAAGATGCTTCTCCTCCCACCCACCTAGAACTTAAGCAGAAAATACATTGTTCTGTGTTTATCTTAGAACTGTGATTTCAGTCATATATGTATATTCATTGACAACTATTTTTAAGGTATAAACTGGGAGTTGTGTTATTTGAAACTAAAATGTTTTTAGCCTAAACCCATACTTACTCTTTAATCTGGGTTTGAGTTTCTTCACTGAGGACAGGATCTGTTTGGAAGCATCCTTACTATGGATGCAAGGGCCCTGGCCTGGTGCTGACCTCTTCCTGTACAGGTGCTGCTATAAATTCGGGGTGGCACGTGGGTGACTATGGACCAAGGCTATGTCTTGATCAACTCCTCTGTTACAAAGTGGTGACTGTAAGCAGTGCTTAGTTAGGATCACCTTTATAAAAATATTACTAACTTTCATTTAAGTAGCAGTCCTGTGTTCAGGATTCTCTTGAACTAAAGGTGAATCCTTATCAACAAATTGTGAAATGAATGCTGTGAAATTCAGTTTTTATAGAAGCACTTGTGATATTCTAGATGCTGTTGATAACTGTATTGATGTAAGTAGAAAATTGGCTTACCTCTTATTCCTCATCAAGAAAGAGAGTGAAACTTTTTTATGATGACTTGCAGTGAGATGAGGAATCTATTAAAAAAAAAAAAGTCTTGCAGGAAATTATTAAGCATCTTCTGTTACTTTTTCTTATAGTGATGTCTGAGAATACTGCCATCTTTTGTTTTTGTTTTTTTTTTTTTTTTCCCTTTGGACGATATGACTTTTCAATTTTAGGTAGGAGAGAAGTATTAATGCTGGGTTGGGGAAGGAGACAGGGAAACATTACTGTTTTTTTTTTTTTTTTTTTTTTTTTTTTTCCCCTTCCTAGAAAGTGTCCTAGTGAAGGTATTCTGTTAATTATTCTGTCTCTTGCCGCAAAAAAAAAAAGTGAAGTTCTCAATGTTATTGCTGGTGAAGTAGTACAGCTAGACAAGTCACTTCTTGGGTTATTGTTTGTTTTTCAACATTTTTTCCTAACGTTTTGCTACTACCAAACACCTAATTATTGTCTAATTGCACAGGGAGGATGCATTCATTGTAGATGTTAATTTTAAATTTTCTCTGAAATTGCATTATATGATTAAACCCCTGCTAGTTATTTGTCATACAAATGAGAAAACTTTTACTATTTTGCAAAACAATCATCCAGAAGACCTGGGAACTTTTCTTGTTGATAAGATCCTCAGTAGAATTGAATCTTAACCATTAGGGATGTCTCCTATTGGTGCTAATATGGTTAGGAGTCCTCAAATACTCACGTCTAAAGTGTAGTCACGAGCTGTGGTACCCCTCCTGCTTCATTTGGGAATATTGCTGATTTCATATTAGTTACAAATTTAGACTCGAATCTTCAGATATTTACCTCTTACTCAGTTCTTGAATTAGATCATTTTGACTCAGGATTTTTAGTTTTTCATTCTTTAAATGCCAGTATTAGACATGATATTCTTTGTGTGAAAAGAAATCTGGAAAAATCTATTCTCTGAATGTAACCACATCTCTGCTGAAACAAGATTTTTGAGTTTAAATGCCATAGTTTCAAAAAAAATCTGCCACCTTGGTGTTCTACAGTCCTTCTTAGGAGGGTTTTTCAAAAGCATAAAGCCATTATTGCTTCTAGCGTTTGTCCATATGTATCTTGGTGTGTTTTTCTGTGACCACTGAAGTTCAGGCTGTTTCCATTGCCTTAGTGCAGGATAAAGGAGCTACTGTAGCTAATGAATAACCAGGAGACACTTTCTGTACATCTTACCTGGCGTATTAAAGCCTACATTTGCCATTAGTGCCCAGTGGAATTATGTTGTCCTTTTCATAAGCTGCATCAGGATCTTAGAGTTCTAGTTTTTGCCAGAGTGACTTTTCTAGACAGAGCAAACCCCCCACAAGGGTCAAGCTTAACCAGTGCCAATTTAAGATTAAAAAGAAGTTCTTATTCATGGAGTCAAGATTAAAATGAAGTTCTTATTCATAGAGTCAAAATAGACAACCTCCCTTAAAAGTGTAGAAAGATGGAGCAGAAAATTAAGAAAAAACTGGCTTAATGTGCTTCTCTCAAGATCAAACCTAAAAGAGCTCTTCCTGTGTTTCCATGTGACTGTCTGCACTTGCACTGAACTTGGTCTGAAGTGCAATTACTGTCCTCAAATGGCAGTAACAGGAGAGAACCTCAGATTGGGAAAGCGTGCTAGCTTTTACCTTTTCACTTGTTTGGTTACGGATTGGAAATTTATTTGAGCATATAAGTGGGATGAATATGTGCAATTTATTATGGCATTTTGACTGAGACCAGTTTCAAGGTTAATTAGTCTCTCTGGGATGACTGACCCTCTGTGCTCCTGAAGTGTTTGCATGGTGCTTGCGTATGCATGCAGATGTTCCACTTAAGGTCTTCCTCTGTCTGAGAGTAAAGTCTAGCTAGATGCATCAGTTCTTACCTGAATTACGGGCACAGAGCATGGTGTAGGGTAACTGGCAGCCTGTTCTTTTTTCACAGTTGTTCCAGTGTCATCTTAGAAATCTCTCCAAACTTATGGAATATAATAACATTGCTACTTCGAGGGATGTTGGCTTTTTTATTTATTATACAAGCTCTTGTTTTAGAAACACTCCTTGCTCCTTTCCCCAGAAGCTCTTGGAAGTCTATCATAATGTTTTTCTTGTTCCTTCCTATTTATTCTTGCTGTATTCCTTACTCTGGTATGCGCCTCTGGCACGGAGGCTGTTGAGATTTTGAAACAGAAGAAATTTTATGCAAGACTGACTTTCAGTGACATTAGTCTTCCAGTTTTGCCTAAGAACACCATTCCAACTTAAGGAGTTGAGCCAATTCTTCTTGAAAGATGCCTTTAAAAATGTCAAACTTGTATCTGCTCCATTACTGGGATACTCATTTTTCTTTCTGGCACCATTGTCTGTGGACTCCATATTGTAGTCACTGTAATGTAGTTATGTCGGAACTGCGTAGATACTTACTGTGGGCAAAGCTGCAGAAGCTCTGGCACGTTGCTAGTTAGAGAAAAAAGTAACACAACTTAAGCGTTTTCTGACATAAATTTCTGCCAGGTATCAAGAAGAAGAAAATTCACATGGTGTCTCATATAGGCCAGTAACTATTTCTTTTCTGTTGGTGATTGTCTTAATTTGAACTCATTGGTTAAAATAAAAATAGTTTTAAAAACCCTAAAATCTTTACTGTCATTGAATTACTCAACTCTTGTTCAAGGAGGCACAGGAAACTCCTCAGAAGTTATTGGACAGCATATATATATATATGTATATTTATTTTGGGAACTATTCTCTCCCACCTAAAGAAGCACTATTGAAGTTCCCTACAAATACCTGGGCGAAGCTAGCCTAGGTGTCAGGGAAAGAAGAGAAGAGACAAGACAATACATGATATTTAGAGCTGGAAAGTTTTACTCATCAGTGGCTTAACATCTCAGAATTTCAAGCTGTAAGAATCTACATGCTTGCTATGGCACAATTTTATCGTCTCTTAAACTTCCAAAGATTACAGAAAAGACTTTGGGGAAATAATTTTCCAAGGAAAGGTTGTTCCAAAAAAATATTTACAGACAGCTCTTGAGGCTGGAAAAACATAGCATATGTAATACTCTTTAGCTTCAGAATTCAGGAGAAGAGATTGTGTTTGCATGGCAAAATGTTTGCATTCAGAGTAGGAGAGCTGTGGTACAATCATTGCACTTCCCGTAAGTAACACAATTTTCCTGATATATGTGTTACTGTAATATTGCACTAAATATCTTTAGAGAATTTAGGGCTATGCTAAGAGCCTGTCTTTTGACAGTTCATGCTTATGAGCATATGAGTAGTGATTTATATGGCTTTCTTTAAGGGATTTAAGTACAGCAGCCCAAAGTTGGGGTTTTGGTTTGGTGTGGGTGTTTGTTTTGTTTTGGTTTTTTGGTTTGGGT